AAGTCAATATGGCGTCAAGGACAATTGTACTGATTAAAATTAATAATAAAGTTAGAGATAAAAGTTCATGTTCCTGGCAGAACTATACGAATAAATCAGAACTGGCAGAACTAAAATATAAATCAAAACAAAAGAAAAATATTCAACATTATTTACTAAAGTCATAAGATCAGACATTGAAAAGGTACGAGTTAAAAAGTAAACTTAGTTGTAGATATTGCAAGTTCTTAACAAAATTTATTAAAGTCATACAGGTACATCGAAAATGTCATACTACATATGTGTTACTATTATTAAATTATTACTTTTACTATTAAATTTCATTTATGTACATCTATCAAATAGGAAGTAAACTCCCCTTTCATTATACTCAACTAACTAGTAAACTGAACTAGTCAATGTTTAATTTAGCTAAAATATATATATTAAAATAGACTATAAAACTGAAACTACTACTCAACAGCATCAAAAACGCCATAAACTGATATATAAAATCACTTCAAAGGCGAAAAACTTAAAAAATTTCCCAAGTAAATATCTGTATACATATTTACAAGCATTTTGCAAGCATGTCGCAAAAGAACAAATAAAATAAGCACTACTTTCGATGGCAACTCTGGACAAAATGGAAATTTTGATAGGCTTGTATATGAAAAACAAGTAAAAAATAATGATTGTGAATAAGTTATGAATTTTTATGTCAGTAAAATAATAAATAGAAAAATTAACGTATTTATTAGGAACAATGACGACACGATATACGAATAATTAACGCAAGCATTCGTTGACAGTTAACTGGGAATTTCGTAAGTACTTCCAAAAGTCGTTTACAATAGACGAAATTTTAGTCTTGGCAACCATGCGATTTGAGCTGCTTGTTAGAGAAGCGATTTCAAAAAGGTTAGGCTAAATAAGCGAGCAGTGTTGCTATTTCATGTTATTTTTAAAATAAGCAGTTATTCTTTTGTGATATGCTTACAAAAGAAAACACCTAATGTTAAAATATCAGTTATGAAGTACGCTTCTTTACTTTATTCAAGCAATCGTTATGCATCAGTCTATAGAAACGGTCTATTAACAGCTCTTAAAAAAGCAAAAAATATAAGAAAAATGCTAGTTAACTGCAATTAAAAAAAGCAGAAAATATAAGAAAAATGCTAGTTAACTGCAATTAAAAAAACAGAAAAACAAGAAAATAACTTAATAAAACATTTCTGTAAAAAACGTCTGATATACATTTCAATGCTAAAAAAATTCAATTTCACAAGTTA